CCAGGCTGGAGTGAAGTGGCCCAATCTCGGCACACTGCAAGCTCCGCCTCCCGGGTTCACGCCATTGTCCTGCCTCAGCCTCCCGAGTAGCTGGGACCACAGGCGCCTGCCACTACCACTACGCCTGGTTTATATATATATATATATATATATATATATATTTTTTTTTTTTTCTTTTCTTTTCTTTTCTTTTTAGTAGAGACGGAGTTTCACTGCTTTAGCCAGGATGGTCTCGATCTCCTGACCTCGTGATCCGCCTGCCTCGGCCTCCCAAAGTGCTGGGATTACAGGCGTGAGCCAGCGTGCCCAGCCCCAAAATAATCTTTTTATAGGACAAAAGTTTTCTGAGTCTTTATTGCTACCTCTGTTATTCAGATTCTGTCTAAAAGAGATTAATAGTTTAGAAGAATGAATTGTGTTGGGATTTTACCTATTATCTTTGTATCTCTTTTCTTAGATAAGATTCACTGATTATAAATCTCAATTAAATATACTTTATGTGTCTGAATGAAACTGATGACCAGAATCTTGCCAGTGTAGGAAAAGTTGACTTAAGAAAAGAAGGTTTGCTTTCCAAACCTTCTATGCTGTTACCTTTGATGAGATGACAGTCTCTTTGCTTTCTTCTGCTGTTTAGCTTTCTGCTACTCATCAGTATGTGATCAGGGAGTAGAAACATGATGTATATCAGACTTGTTTGGAACTCCAACAAAATCTGAAGGGAGAGGAAATTAAAAATGTGGCTGAGTATTTCATGTTATGACACTTTGGTTCCTATATTAAAGTTAACCACATTATTTCACAACCAACTTACAATCACTTCATATTTAGCCAAACATTTCCTCTCATTTCTGTGTGTAATTATAAGCTTATTGATACTAAAGTATGGTTTTTTTATGAAATGCTTTCTCAATACTGAACCCTAGTTGACCCTCAGCACTTACTTGTTTTTGAAAGAAGGAGATAGAAGTTGAATTTGTGTTTGAGTTTATCCTAAACCTAATCATCATTTTGTTTTTATCCTAGAATTAGAATGTTTCTAAACACTTCCCTCCACACTGTATTAATGTCAACTAAGAACAGAAATTTTCAGTGGCTAGGCATGGTGGCTCACGCCTGTAATTCCAGCACTTTGGGATGCCAAGGCAGAAGGATCCCTTGAGCCCAGGAGTTCGAGACCAGCTTGGGCAGCAAAGTGAGACCCTGTCTCTACAAAGTTAGCTGGGCATGGTGGTGCATACCTGTTGTTACTCAGGAAGCTGAGGTGGAGGATTGCTTGAGCCCAAGAAGTCGAGGCTGCAGTGAGCCATGGGTAGTGTGTGTGCACTCCAGCCTGGGTGACAGTGAGACCTTTTTCAAAAACAAAAACAAAAAATCTCTGCTTATTTTTTTTTGAATTACAAAATTTTGCAAAATTAAAATTAAAATTTTGTGGGTACATAGTAGATGTATATATTTATGGGTTACATGAGATATTTTGATACAGGCATGCACGCATATTAGCCACAGGGTAAATGGGGCATCCTTTTATCCTTTGTGTTAGAAGCATTTATCCTTTGTGTTACAAACAATCCAACTATTCTCTTACAGTTTTTTTGTAAATGTACACTTGAATTATTTTTTACTATTGGCTGGGTGTAGTGGTTCATGCCTGTAATTCCAGCACTTTGGAAGGCCGAGGCAGGCAGATCACCTGAGGTAAGGAGTTCAAGACCAGCCTGGCCAACATGATGAAACCTCATCTCTACTGAAAATACAAATACTAGCCAAGCGTGGTGGGGGCATGCGTGTAATATCAGCTATCAGAAGGCTGAGGCAGGGGAATCGCTTGAACGCAGGAGGCAAAGGCTGCAGTGAGCCGAGATCAGCCTGGCAGCTGAATTGAACAAGAATAAAAAAGCACGAACGGCAGAGGCAGCAAGAGCCGCAGAAGCACTGCACTCCAGCCAGGGCTGGAGCGAGACTCTGACTAAAAAAAAAAAATTGAGTATAGTCAGCCTGTTGTGCTAACAAGTAGTAGGTCACCTTCATTCTTTGTATTTTTTGTGCCCATTAACCCTCTCCCGACCCTCCACTATGTCACTTCCCTTCCAGCCACTGGTAACCGTCCTTCTACTCTCTGTCTCCATGAGTTGAATTGTTTTAATTTTTAGCTCCCACAAATAAGTGAGAACGTGCAAAGTTTGCCTTTCTGTGCCTCACTTATTTCATGTAACATGATGACCTCTAGTTCCATCCATGCTGTTGCAAGTGATGGGATCTCATTTTCTTTTTATGGCTGAATAGTACTACATTGTTTATATGTACCACAGTTTGTTTATCCATTCATCTGTTGATGGACACTTAGATTACTTCCAAATCTTGGCTATTATGAATAGTGCTGCAATAAACATGGGAGCACAGGTATCTCTTTAGTATTATTGATTTCCTTTCTTTGGGGTATGTACCTAGGAGTGGGATTGCTGGATTGTAAGATAGCTAGTTCTATTTTTAGCTTTTTGAGGAACCTCCAAACTGTTCTTCATAGTGTTTTTACTAATTTACATTCCCATCAGCAGTATACAAGGGTTCCCTTTTCTCCACATTCTTGCCAGCTAGCTCCTTGGCAGTGTGTTAATGTGTTAACCTGCCTACTTTAGAGTTAAAAAAAAAATGCTGAGTTTAAGACCTGAATTCTAGGCAAAAATAGAATCCAACTCAGATGTTATAAGAGACTTTAATGCAGGGACTGCAGAGGTGCCCTGGGTTAAGGGAACCCATAAGGCATGTTTTTACTAGAAACAGGGAAGCCCAAAGGGGCAGGAAAAATATTGTGCTATTGGAGCCTCGTGAGAGCTGTGAAGAGGGTGCCTCACAGCAACCATGGTGGTGGAGGGATGCAGCTTCTGCCAGAAAATGTGGCCATGAGGAGGGAGGGAGGTAGGAAGAAATAATGCAGCCTTTCTCCGCCTTCTTATCTTCTGTCAGTGGCAGGACAGTCCTGGAACCCAGAAGGCATATCTGTTGGGGTCAGCATCATTGGTCACAGAGTAGAGCAGAAAAGTATTGGGAGATAGAGTAGTTGTAGTAAGATAATAAGCAACACAACTACTAATGAGTTCAGGTGTTGACTTCAGGTAATGTAATATTTTACCCAATGTCTTATATGTTATCTATGCATACTTTACTGGGTTGATGTGGGCATTAAATGAGATAACGTGAAAGTATTATCATAGTGTCTTTGTCTTGTTGAGTATATTTTAAAAGTCTTAGTAATGCACGGATTTGAAAAGCTCAGCTTCCTTTCACTTGGTACTGTGTTAAATTTGTTTTGTGGGAACTTTGGTTGCCACTATATTTTTAAATATATGTTTTCCAGTAATTTTTGAGACGTGAATGGCCTCATTAGCAAGTTGTTTCAAAGATTTAGTTTCTCATTGTTTTATAGAGCAAGGAGCCTGAAAACTTAAGTCCTAGTTCAGGCTATACTACTATTTGTGGCATAGTTCTTTGTGGGAGTTATTTTTACTTTGCCTCTCTGTTCTTTTCCCTTCTGAGAAATTGGAGTAATAATACTTAACTAGTAAATGTTTAATATTATGGTAAAATAATCGTTGTCAAGTACTTTGAAGACTTAAATGATATGTATATTAACTTTTACTCTCGTTCATTTTGAAAGTATCAGAGCCTCAGATTAAGAGTGATTGGATGGTTTTTAGTTTGTAGCATTTTCTGTGTGAAATTATGTAGCTCATAGATATTATCTTGTATATGTGTGTTTATGTGAGTAAAGTGATTATGCTTATGTCTATTTTAGTTAATGTGTGTGAATGTAATTTTTTTTTTTTTTTTTTTTGAGACAGAGTCTTGCTGTGTTGCCCTCCGCCTCCCAGGTTCAAGCAATTCTCCTGCGTTAGACTACAGGCGCATGCCACCATGCCCGGCTACTTTTTGCAGTTGTTGTTTTTTTTTTT